CACTTGGTACTCTACGTTCCTCAAAATTCTGCGTGAAACTGAACACAAGCACCTGTATGAGCTGACTGGAGGGTCACCTGACTGTGAGGAAAAAGGTGACTAACATCCACACCCACAACACCAAATACCATTCGGTTATTATTTTGTTTGGCACAGAAGTCTCCAGGTTTGTTCGTGAAGGATTGTGCAAAGCATGTGTGTGAGCGACTAAAGCTCTAGAAAGCTCTATTCAAACTTCATTTGCAATCATTAACTTAGGAATGGTTAATTATCGTGTTGTCGGCAATTAGAAATAATTATCTCCGCGGTGCAAAAGGGGCTGCAGCTTAGTTCACAGCCTTTTATCGTGCAAACAGGCTAACGTTTCGACACCACCGGTGAGGGATGAGCTCTGATGGCGACACATCAGAGATGAAGCAGAGCGAAGGCACAGCGGTGTTGAAACATTCGTCTATTTGCACAATAAAAGCTGTAAATTAAGCTCTTCATTTTGCCGGAAGATCCCTAGAAAACCCTAGAAAAGCAAACTTCCATTTGTACTGTGTAATTATTTACTATGAACAATCATCTTTAATATACATAAAGCCACTTGACTAGATTATTATTCTTCATTTACAAAGTGTGCTCTCTCTCTTTTTTTCCCATTTATCACCATGAACAGATGAGAAACCGCGTTCACCTAAAGACGAATCTATGGACTGTGATGCTGCGACAGCGGAAAGCCGTGACAGCCCAGAGTTTATGGACATCAGCGTCAAAGAGGAGTCTCAGGATGCAGGTCTCACGGTTCAATGATGAATATATGTTAAGATATTGATGTTGACATTGATTGATCAGGGCTGTCAGCAGTCAGGTGGGACTTCTGGTTTAATACATACTAAACAAATGGAGTCAAGTTGCTAAACTTAGACACTCACAGTGTGTCACACTTGTCCTCAGTGGGGTGTGTCCGTGTAGATAATTGTTGTTCTACTTGCAGTGTTTTGATAGACACATAACTGACAAAACTGTCTCCTAAGTGAAAGTGAAAACTATCCATAAGCAGATGTGTGGATTAATTTGAGCGACTGGAGCATTTCTTTTTCAATTATAATAAAAAAAAAGCTTTAAGGACTACTAACAACATGCAGCTTACCGTAAATTCCGGACTATTGAGTGCACCTGAATATAACTCGTCTATAAGCCGCATGTGTCCACGTTGTAACATGAGATATTTAAAAAGAAAGAGTTTTTATACTTTTAATTAAATACATTCTGCTAACATACCCAAATACGTAAATGCTTTTTTGCGAATAGTGTCTGCAACAGGGCTGGTTAAAAACAATATATACAGTCGCCTACCAGGAAAAGTCACTGATCGCTATCTTCATCTTCCTCCTGCACTGAAACCACTAAAGTCGTCTTCTTCAGTGTCGGAATTGAACAGCCTCAGAATTACTTCGTCACACACGTCCTCAGTCTTTCGTTATCGCTCTCAATGTCACTTACGCTTCGAGGCAAATTCATAAAAATCCATAAATTAGCCGCATCATTGTTTAAGCTGCAGTGTTCAAATTGTGTGAAAAAAGTAGTCGCTTATAGTCCAGAATTTACGATAGTTCCCTGCTATTGAAGAGGCAGAAGAAATCTCAGGCATATTTAATTAGGGCGACTGTGACTCAGGTGGTAGAGCGGGTTGTCCTCCGATTGCAAAGTTGGCGGTTCGATCCCCTGCCCCTCCACGGTCAAAGTGTCCTTGGGCAAGACACTGAACCCAAAGTTGCTCCCAATGGCAGGCAGCGCCTTGCATGGCAGCTCTGTCACCACTGGTGTGTGAATGGGTGAATGAGAAACACATTGTAAAGCCCTTTGGATAAAAGTGCTATATAAGTGCAGACCATTTACCAATTAAGCTCTAGCATGTAAATCTTTAACTACCCAAATGGAAGAACTGACCTATTTCCTCCCAACACAGTGCATAATGTGCATCTTCTGCCTTTCATGAGTGTGATTTTTGTTACTCATTGATGTCTTTTCAGATCTTTATGCCAGCGGTGAGCTGCCAAACAGCTCGGAGCCCTCGCAGCCAGGTGGGACTGACTCACTATCGCTCACACCTTTGATGCTGTTGAAGTATTTTAAATATGTCGGTACTCTAAAAAAAAGTTTGCTCTTGCTCTGCCCCAATAGGCCACACGAAAATGCCGAACTCAGGTCATAGCGAGAAAAACGTCTGTTAGATCTGCAATTTTCCTTTAGTGTTCTATAGGTGGGATAAGTGTAGTTGGAACGTGCTGCAGAATTGGTGGAACATTTCTCCACATCCTGCCGGCTTGACACCAATGAATAAGTTCCATGTGTGCATCGTGCTGAACCTCGTGGAGGTCAGGCTGAAGCCTACCAAGCGCTCTAAATGAAAACCACATGCCGACTGTATATCGCAGAACTGTAAAGAAATGTAAAGGGCTTGTTTATTTAAATCTTTAATTTCAAGTCGATGTGGAGCGTTGGCGTCTGCGCATACGGCTCACGTCATGATTCATTTTGATTGTGCCGATGGCTGCTCCATTGTCATCACCTCTCTCTGCAGCGTTCTCGCATAAAGTGCATTTCTGCCTTTCACATAACAAATTATTGCTTCGGGGGGTAATCAGCCCAGAAATGGCACACGAGGAGGGATGCATGTGGACTAATGAGGCAGTGGGAAAAATGATGTGAAGTGAGGAGGGAGCGGAAGAGTTTTTCTTTCGAATATGAGTTACAGTTTACAGTTTGTCTCAATAGGATTAAGGCTGTAAACCTGTCTGTGGATAGGAGAATGTTTTAAGATTGTTCTACCAGTTTGCAAGGTGAACTTCATGTGCAGAATGAGCTTTCCTCTTATTGGAATGGTATTTTAAAAAAGCTGATAGTTAGCCTCTTAATAATTCTCGAGTGTGGGAACACCAAGGGGGCCACAAAGACCACTGTTTACTTCTTATTGTTGTTAAAGCTTTATCTCTCCATCAGCACAGGCTCGTATTTACTCACACGAAGCTGCTCGAAACAGCACTTTAACCTCTGGCATACCAAGTCTGAGAAAGAAAATTAAAAGCTGTCTGCACTGAGGGGAAAAAAAACAACAAAACTTTCCGGGGTTTTGGGCTTATGACTGGGAGGGGAAATGCAGAACTTTGAGTTGAGTAGACAGGATAGCAGATGGGGATACATGCACATTGTGCATGGTGCCTTAGTCAAGCATTATCCTCGGCCTAGACAGAGCAAATGAATCACAGCCTGCCAGCCACTGAAGGTCTGACTAAAGTGGATCATAGTAGAGTCGGCTGTGCTTGTGAGGAGGAAAACAAGACAAAATGCTGCCACATATCAGAAACAGGGAACACGAGTGACATGTGCTGCCATGACACACTCAAAGCAATTTCAGAAGATTAAACGATTTATAAAAGCATTTAGGTGTTAGCTTAGAAAAGGAAACGCAGCCCCTTATGACTGTCTGTTTTCCACCTTTTAATATGAGTTACAGTTGCAGATTTGTAAAGATTACATCTATTCTCACTTGAACAGTGACATCTGGTCCATATACTGGCCGGCTTTTGGCACTGTTTGGCCTATATGGTTTATATTAAGCAAAAGTGAGCCTCAGTGATTTAATCTACAGTGCACAGTGTTCATAAATTAGCTACTCCAGACCTGTTTTTTTTAGTGCTTATGTTTGTTCATTGTGGTTTATTGTGTTCATGTTTTAAATATAGAACATCTTGCATGTTATGGGTGTAAACAGTGTGTGTATGCTTTTTAAATAGCAGCGTAACGAGGACATTCCATTAAAATACCAAAACCACAAACAATGATAAGCAGTCTTTTCCTGCTGGTAATGTCTGTAATTGTGGCTTGCTGACACGGACAGAAGCCTCTCTGAACCTCTGCTCCGCATTGCAGATGGAAGTGACTCAGTAGCAGCAGCCAAAGGCCCAGAAAACGCTGATATTGTTCTTCGAGATTATCAGATGGACGTCGCTAGACCTGCCTTGGAGGGGAAAAACATCATCATATGCCTCCCAACAGGAAGCGGTAAAACCAGAGTTGCAGTTTATATTACCAAAAAACATCTGGACAGCAGGAGGGCAGAGGGGAAACCAGGGAAAGTGGTCGTCCTCGTGAACAAGGTACTACAATCCAAGGATGGTATATCTGACTTATGGGTTTGCACTATTATGCTAACCTACTTCTGTCCATTCCAGATCCAAAGAAAACATTCAGTCAATTTGCACATGTGGGTCAGCTCACCACAAATTACATGCCATACGGTTTAGATATTCCCCTGCACTTTGTTACTATTTGGCACATGTGTGATCTGCTCTGAGCTGGAAAAAAAAACAACTCCATTTTGGATTAAAGGTTTTCCAGCTATAAAACTATTTGGTTGCATTTTCAAGCAGCTTGTGAAATTATGATCCTATACGAGTGAAACTGATCTTTTCATTTTTCATTTCTGAACAGGGCAGAACAATAACTTGGTTAGCTGCGCCTCTCCAGAGAAGGGAGTGTCTGCTGTCTTTGTAACTATAATCAACAACAGAATCCTCTGAATCACTGCGCAGCTAATTTGAAACCCTCCCTTAAGAAAGCATTAAAAAAAAATAAATCCTGGATAACAAACATCCCCTTAAATCATCAGGAGCCACATTAGAAGCTTCTGATCTCGTAACAGAAACAGAGCGGGCTTTTCTTATTTTTGGGGGGAAACAGTTATTTATATGTAAATATCGTGATTATATAGCATCTTAAAATGCAATGTGCTCTGTTGTCCTGCAGATTCCTCTGGTTGAGCAGCATTACTCATCGGAGTTCTTGCCCTTTCTGAAGCAAAAATACAAAGTGGAGAGAGTCAGCGGAGACTCCCAGCTCAAAATCTCTTTCACAGAGATCGTGGCGAAAAATGACATCATCATATGCACAGCCCAGATTCTGGAAAACTACTTGGAGAGGTCCAACACCGGAGAGGACGAAGGGGTGAACTTAAGCGGTATGATTTTGCTAAAAGTGAATCTAACGTTTGAGTAAACCAAGTCACACAAATTATACACAATCTAAAGTAAATATGGTCACATTTTCCTCCTAAAGTCCTTTTTTTAAAACCTTTTGCTAAAAAAATCTGTCCAGGCTTAAACTTCACACATTGACAGGCTCTGGAATAGAAAGCCACCCAGAGGACCCAGAGCAGCATCTCCCCTGATAGGATCTTGTCAAAGTCTTCCCACTCTGCTTTTCGCTCCTGTTGGCACTCGCCGGTACAAGGTGGAATAAGCCACCTCAGTGGAACATATGCTGTTTGTTGAAACGCCTGAAAGCATGTCCTGTTTTTTTCCTCCCGGTTTCCAGGCCACACGTCTGTTCAAGCCATCAGCGTGTGGCTGATCAAATTCACATGAGAGCTTCTATTTCCCATAATACATCAAGCTGCCACTCTTCATACTCTTCTCTCTCCTCCGGGGACAAATTTGTACCACTCCGGTTAAACTTGTGCATAATTATGACTCACCTTGCTTACACATTTGTAAAATACAAATGATCTAGAGTTATTTTTTGCAGCAGTTTTCCTTGCACATGCTATTGTGTGGCTCAAACTGCTGCGTCAAAGGCTCCTAGAAAAGTGCTGGTTTTGTGTGGGAGGATCTTACGGAGAGATGCCGTAATCTGTGAGGGAAATCACCTCTGTTTATTTAGGAAACAAATAAATAAGGTAAAGTTAGCATCGCTTGGTTGAGAAAATTGTAGCCTTTTTTTTTTTTTAAATAGGAGCAATTTTGTCTCAGGCAATAATTTTAGAGGAGGAAGTGAAGAAATGTAAATGTTATTGTTTAACCTAAGCAAGCAGCAATCCTGCTAAACAACAGTCCAACCAAAGAGTCACTGAATGTTGTTCTGTAATATATATTAATCTTATTTAAATACCATTTTCATGATACTGTAATATACTATACTGTACGTTTATTTTGTTTTGTGTCTTCTGTTGACGCAGATCTGACGCTGATTGTGATCGATGAGTGTCACCACACTCAGAAAGGAGAAGTGTACAACCACATAATGATGCGATACCTGAAGCAGAAGCACAAGAACATAAAGCTGAAGAAGTTGGAGAAGAAGCCTGTGCCCCTCCCTCAGATCCTGGGCCTGACTGCCTCGCCGGGGGTTGGGAAAGCCACAAAAATGAAGCAAGCTGAGGAGCATATACTTCGCGTAAATACTGTTCTCAGCTTTCTGGCTGCACCTATGTTGACAGAAGTGTTAGGCAAAAAATTAGTGAATATAGCAAAACCATCAGCTGTGATCTTTGACTCTTTTGGTTAATTTACCTTTTGTGTGAACAGAAACTGGTCATCAGAAGGAAACGCACTGCAGAGCTTTTCTCTACAATGGCTGCTTTTATGTTTTCCAGCTGCTGCTTTAACTGCGTCTATACCCAGTAGATTCACTTGTCATGAGAAACATCTTTATTTTGCTGCATTTTTTAGCTTTTACTAATTTAAATCCTGCCCCAGTTTTTTCTGCCACAGTCATCGAGGATCTTGCTCATCCAGCCAATGTTCCACACTGCCCCTGCACACAGGGCAGCCATAAACTTTCCCACTGCCACAACAGTAAAAAAAAAAGTTTAAAAACAGCACTGTGGCTTTAACTCTGTGCTGGACACACAGAGTAGAAATAGTCTGCCAAGATGAAGGACTTTCTCACACTGTAAATTTGTGCTTCTTTCATAGATTTGTGCAAACTTGGACGCTTCCAAAATCATGACAAGGAGCCTTGGAGAGTTCAAAAAGGAACCAAAGAAAACAATTGTAAATGTGGAAGACAGAAAGGAGGTACTTTTGTTTAACAGGAGAAGGTTTCATACTAGTTTGTTGGTAACGACATTTACTTTAGTTTCAATGCAATGTTACGATAAACTTTTCAGGATCCCTTTGGCAACGTCATCAAGAAAATCATGAATGCGATTCATGCCCATGCCGAGCTGAGCCCGACCTGTGACCTCGGCTCTCAGAACTATGAGCAGTGGGTGGGTCAAAACGAACGCAAAGGTGAGGACAGATTTTTACACCACCCCTTTGTCTCCCCCGTTTTTTTCTTCTTCCCTGCTGATGACAACAATCCGGCCTTGTAGGGATCTAAACTACTTGTCTCGATCTCCTTTAGCTGCAAAAGAGGAAGATCAGAAAGTGCGAGTTTGCGCAGTGCATCTTCTGCTCTACAACGAGGGCCTGAATCTGAGCAACACCATCCGCATGTGTGACGCTCTGAGCTTCCTGAAGAAGGAACAGGAGGAGGAGATAAAGAAGAAAACAACACCTGATGGGGAGCACGTCATACAGATCACAGACACAGAGAGATTCCTCTTCAATTTGTTTAAAGGTGTTGTACGACTGGGTTGAATTACCAAGAAAAGTGAAACAGAAAAATTCATCATTACACGTGTTCTGCCGCATTTTACGGTATTAGTTTAAAATTTCTCAATACCATTTCTTTCTTTCTTGCCAAGAGTTAAATGAAAAGACAGATAACACTTTTGTATCTGTTTGGCTAGCTGTTAGTTAGCATAGCTTAGCACAAAAACTGGGAGATAATTAGCCACACTCTGTCCAAAGATAACAAAATCTGCCTTTATCTTGATTGTTTAATTTGTATTTAAAAGCAAATTAAAGACAAATATGAGCATTGTCGTCTTGAACTCTACAGTAGTTGCTTTGTAAACTTATGGCAACATAAACACATCAAGATGTTACTGCTAGCAGCTAAGCGAAAGTTTTATTTCGAGGGTTTTAGGTGTTATTTATGGTAGTGAGCTTTACAGTTTCTGGTTGGTGGATCTAAGATTGCTGTTCCTCCGTTTTATAATCATTTTGCAAAGCTGAGCTGACTTTCTGTAGATTTGTTTCTGGTTTTAATGCTAAGCTATGCTAACTAGCAGCTAGCCTAACAAATACAAAAGCGGTTTCTCATCTAACTCTCAACAGGAAAAAACTTCTTTAACGTTGATAGTACAAAGATTTACCGCAGTTCTTTGAAACTGATGTCCTGCAGATAACAAAGAGGAGCTGGAGAGGCTGGCAAAGAATCCCCAGTATGAAAACGACAGCCTGTCAAAACTCAGAGGTACCATTCTACGCGAGTTCAGCACCAGGGCGGAGGCCAGAGGGATCATTTTCACCAGAACACGCCGCAGTGCCATCGCTCTAAGTCAGTGGATTCAGGAGAACCCCAAGTTTGCTGACATCGACGTGAAACCGGCGTACGTCATTGGAGGAGGAGACCAGAGTAATGTCAAACCGATGACCGCTGTGAGTGCACATAGAACGAACTACACTTGTCTTTAGTGTCCTGTGCACTTCAAATGCAGCTTACACTTAACCTTCTCATATATAATAATAATAATAATAATTGATCAGATTTATATAGCGCTTTTCTAGACACTCAAAGACGCTTTACACTGTCAATTATTCATTCACACACATTCATTCTGGTGGCAGTAGCTACGATTGTAGCCACAGCTGGGGCAGACTGACAGAGGCGTGGCTGCCATTCTGCCCCTCCGACCACCACCTCAAACAATCCATTCATATGCATCCACACCAGGCAAGGTGGGTGAAGTGTCTTGCCTAAGGACACAACGACCATGAAACAGGTTACAGGGCGGAATCGAACCGCCGACCTTCCGATCATCGACCGACTCGCTCTACCACCTGAGCCACAGCTTTGTATTTGTGTTTATCAGGCAGAGCAAAAGGACGTGTTGAAGAAGTTCCGCATCGGTGACGTGAACCTGCTGATCGCTACCACGGTGGCAGAGGAAGGTTTGGACATACCGGACTGCAACTTTGTTATCAGATACGGCCTATCGACCAATGAGATCGCTATGATTCAGGTCAGCGATGTGGTGACTGATGATGTGTTTTAAGAATTGCCCCACTTTTGTAATTAAAGCACCATCACTCTGTATTGCGGTAAAACATTGAAGTGGTCGCTCACCATTGACTCAGTCGTTGCCTTCTGCAGGCTCAAGGCCGAGGAAGAGCTGAGGACAGCAGTTACACTGTGGTCGATGTGAAGAACTCCGGGGTGGCTGAAAAGGAGTGCGTCAATGAGTACCGTGAGAGCATGATGAACAAAGCCATTGCTAAAATCAAAGTCTTAAATCAAGCAGAGTATGACAAGCGGGTATGTTCAATTTTTTTTTTTTAAGTCTGTTGAACTAAAAGTCACTTTGCTGAAAGATCGCTTCTTTCTTTTCTTTAATCAGATCACTGAGTTTCAGGTCCAGGCTATAATGGAGGAGAACGTGAGGAAGAAAAAGCAGAAGGAGAAGGCCATTAAGAATGTGAAGCTGTCTGATGTGAAGTTCAGCTGTCGACACTGCAGCAAACACGTCTGCACCGGCGAAGACATCCAGACCATCGAGAGCATGCACAAAGTCAATGTCACGTCAGAGTTTTGGTAACAGCTCACTTTTATATCATCCTGAACCTGCTGCATATGTTTAATAAACTGTATGCCTCTATATTAACTGATGATACTCTACCTTTTTTCTACAGTGACCTTTTCATTCAGAGAGAAAACCCGACTCTTCAACAACGCCTTCTGGATTACGAGACCAACGCCTCCATAGCATGCAAACAGTGTGGGCAGGTACATTCATTTGAGGCTTTTTGGTTTTCAGAGTTCGTTGTTCCGAGTTTGGATAGTTTGGACAGAAAAGCAGATCTTTATATGAAAAGAATAGTTAAACGTTTTGGTAAATATTTGCTTCCTAGCAGAGAGCGACATAAACTACTTTCATAGGGACTAGTTTCTGAATAGCTTTTTGAAAAGAGGAAGACAAAAGTGGAAAATGAGTGAATACAAGTAAACAGAACTAGAATTACTTGTTCAAAATGGGAGATAAATTTGAGTCAATAATAATAATTGATCAGATTTATATAGCGCTTTTCTTGACACTCAAAGATGCTTTACACTGTCAATTATTCATTCACACACATTCATTCTGGTGGTGGTAGCTACGATTGTAGCCACAGCTGCCCTGGGGCAGACTGACAGAGGCGTGNTTACACTGTCAATTATTCATTCACACACATTCATTCTGGTGGTGGTAGCTACGATTGTAGCCACAGCTGCCCTGGGGCAGACTGACAGAGGCGTGGCTGCCATTCTGCGCCTACGGCCCCTCCGACCACCACCTCAAACAATCCATTCATACGCATTCACACCAGGCAAGTTGGGTGAAGTGTCTTGCCCAAGGACACAACGACCACGAAACAGGTTACAGGGCGGAATCGAACCGCCGACCTTCCGATCATCGACCGACTCGCTCTACCACCTGAGCCACAGCCGAGTCAGACATGATATACAGCTGATCTGCCTCCCAGATTCAGATGAAGGTACAAACTAGGGATGCACGATATATCGGCAACCACATCGGTATCGGCCGATATTAGTGTTTTTTCCGATATATCGGTAAATTTAGCCGATGTGAAAAACCAATGATTGTCTAACTTTAGCACCTTTGTCTCTACATCTGATATCGCTGCTATTTCACAGATGTTTTTACTTAAATGATCCTGGACTTGAATGTTAAATATGTTTTACTTATGTTGCGTAATAAAGAAGACTACGTGGTCTAATTTCAGCTTCTTTCGAATAGTTTTCATGTTCTCACAGTGTTTACTCATTTTTCAGTGTGAACAAAAATTGAATCTCGATATCGGTAATATCGGTTATCGGCGATATCACAAATCTTAATATCGGTATTGGTCAGAAATTTTAATATCGTGCATGACCAGTACAAACTGGTACAAATGTAAGCAATCATAGTAGCCACCCACCCAGCCTTGCTTTTGTGATGCATCAATCTGCATTCCATCTTTGTCACATCCTGACATTAACGCTCTCGTTGCAGAGCTGGGGATCGATGATGATGTACCGTGGGATCGAGTGCCCCTGCCTTCACGTGAAAAACTTTGTGGTGAGCGTCAGCGGAGAGAAGATAAGCAAATGCACCAAGTGGAGCGAACTCCCCATCAGGTTTCCTGCCTTCGACTACACCGAACACGCGAGCCAGGTGGCGCAGAGCTCAGACGAGGAGGAAACAGAATAAACTCCAACTCTGCAGAGTCGCAAAAACATCCAGAAAACACTCATCTGTGTCGTATTATCTTACTTACACTGGGAAATGCAATGCTTCCTTTAAGGGCTACTGTGTCAGGTTTACATGGAGTGGTGGATGTAAGTGTCTGTTGTTTACAAGAAAATAAGAATATGCAAGATTGTCAGAACTATATGTATGAATTGTTTATGACATACTAGGGGATTTGCTGTAATGATCACTGTGTGAGTGCCATGAAATTAATTGTCAAAATTGCTAATGAGAAAGTATATATTGCCATCTGAAATGTCTGTGGTCTCCTGAGATTGGAGCCGCTGAGCCGGCGATCGCCCCTCGGAGCCCACCTGTCAACACACATGCACACAAACAGGTGCTGTTGATTTTCCATTAAATTCAGCTGTTAGTGAGTCATGAGGCAGTCAGCAAAGCTATTTTTAGATGCACATTTTTTTTAAAGCTTTGTTCTCTTCATACAGATACACATAGATTACCTGTGGTTTTCTGGGACACAATCAAGTGTGTAATAGACCCTGAAATATAAATAAAGTCCCCTTTCTGACTTTTAATGTTTCCTTTCATTCTTTTTTTATACATAATCATCCACAATATAGTGGAAAACTGTCCTGCCTTTGCCCAGAGATTGAAAAAAAAAAAAAAAACACTATTATTATAGTTCCAGTCAGTTCAGTTCAGACTTTATTAAAAACACACTTCATAGGCGGGGGAATATGATTTCTTTCTTTTTTTTTTTTTTACTGGCGGATAAAAGCTGGCTTTTCCTGTCCTTCTCGCGTTGCGTGAATGACTTGCACCCTGTGTGAGAAAAAAAAAAAGAGCCACTTCCTAATACCAGAAAGTTGTGCGCTCTTGGAAAGTTGGACTGCGGGCTTCAGGGAGGCATCTCTGTCTGCTGTCGGACTCGTCTCAGGAATGCAGCGGGAAGTGAAGGAAGCCTCCGACTAAAGTAGGACGGAGCTCAGTGTGCTTATGTTTTCCTGGGGTTGTATTTTTTTTATGTTTTTTTTTTTTTAGCCTAAGTCATTGTTTTCTTGGAGTGAGAGCATGTCAACCAGGCTGCGCGTAAAAGAAGTGACTCCAAACTTGAGCGACTTTTAAAAGGATTTCTTAAGGACTTGAGAGCTTCGCGGCGACTCCATCCGCGTCATGGTCAGTAATCGATTTCTCATCTGCTTCTGTATTGACAAAATGTACTTATAAAGAAAAAGAAATCCTAAAAGCAGGACTACTTACTGTGGACAGTCACTGTGGGGATGTTACGCGACTGAGCGACAACCTGCAGCGTCAGCTTGTGTTGTGTGAAATCAGGATGTGTTTTTTTTTTTTGCCAACTTTTGTGTCACCTTTCGCAGGGCTGCAGCAAGGTGATGTGGGGGGTGGTGGGGGCGGCTGTCGTCATCACGCTAATAACAGTCCCAGCGGTTTATTACAGCAGTAAGTTGGAGTTCTGGCCCTTCACTAACCGTCTGTCTCTCTTTGTCTGTGCTGCCTGTTGGAAACCAGATCGTGTGACAGTAAAGAGTTCTATCCAAACAACTTTTACGCACGATTGGAAGCTGGTTTCTCTCAGTTTTTGTGGGTAGCCCGTGTGTCTAACTGTGTGACAAATTAAAGGAAAACCCTGGATCTCTAAAGTAGGAGGACCTAGTGGCTCTCTTATGGAGGATATTTTGCTGGTATGATTTGGGTCTACCTGTCCTTAAAGAGAAACCAAACCAATGAAAAATTGTTGTACGGGATCACCTTTATCCTGTATGGAAACATTTCTATCCTGATGTGAGTGGTCTCTTTAGAATGACAACACCCACATCCACAGGGCACAAGGGGTCACCTAATGGTTTAACAAGTGTGTAAATGACAAAATCATGTGCTATGGCTCTTTAAAGTCTCCAGATCTGAACCAAATTGAATACACACCAGAAATTTTGGACCAAAATCTAAGACAACGCTCTCCACCACCATCATCAAAACATCAAATAAGAGTATATGTTCTGGTAAAATTGTGTTTCATTCCTCCAGAAGTAGTGGCACAACACTCAGACACTTTATGCTGCTTTTTCCTTTAATTTGTCACCCCTCTGCATGTAGTCGTTTCATTCAAGCAACAGACTTGTAAAAGATGATTCTCAGTGTTTTAAAGCAGCTTAAACAGGCCACTGCATGATGCACAGATTTTAGATGTGTGATATTGTTTCACGCTACACGTTCTGGTGAATAACGCAGCACGCGTATCATTTCAGAATCTAGTGGAGCCAAAAGGCCCTTCACCCTTCAAGATTACTTCAACGACACCATTAGATGGAGATCTTACAACGTGTATTGGATATCAGGTATCAAATCACCTCTGTGGCTGTATGTAGGTTGTTCTTTGTTCAAACATAGTCTACATGAAGCATCATGTTGTGTGTAAATTTCAGGTGAGCTTATACGTTTTCTTCTGCAGATAAGGAGTATTTGCATAAAACGAGGGACGGGAACGTCTTTCTCCACAACGCTGAAACAAAGGAGGAGTCAATATATTTGAGCAACTCAACCTTTGTAATATATTTTTAACAATAAGCACAGTTTTGCGTATCTGATGTCTTATTCATTTTTATATGTTAACAAAATTGTTTTCATTTCAGGACCAGGTGGATGCCAATCATTACTTGCTGTCAGGTGATTATAAATACGTGGCTTTTGAAAGCAATTTCACAAAGGTGAGACTTTGTTATAGTCACAATAGATTTGTGTGTCGGTTACTGTGTCAGTTAATCTCTTGAAATCTTATCACGAAAACCTGATATAACAGCTTTGTGTTTGAAATCCTACAGAAATGGAGACATTCATTCACAGCCTCATATTCTATCTATAACAGGGAGACTTCGTAAGTAGTCATGTTTTCATTCTAATAGTATTAGTTTTTAATTGCAGGATTTCAGAAATCAAACAGAAAAACTAATTCTGGCGTATTTTTTCTTATCGTGACAACATAATAAAGTCTTCAGAAGTGATATATTTTATCATATCTGCAGACACCTCAGACACATAGGAGGTGATTATCCCCAAAACATGTTTCATATTTCATTGCAGAACATTTGTTAAGCCTGTTGATCTTCCAACTGAAGTGCAGTACTTCACCTGGGCACCGACAGGAAACAAATATGTGAGTTTACACCATGTTGTCATGTCTCCAGTTAAATATCACATCTGTCACTGGATTTGAAGTTTGTGTTGTGGGTCAGGCAACAGTAGGACGATTGAATTTGTTAAAATGAACATCAAGCCCCTGCAAAAGTAGTGTTGATGCACTAAATCTGTGGCTGTGTTCAAAAGCTGTAACTTTATTGTGTTTTGCAGGCTTACGTCTCAGACTTCAACATTTTTCTCAAAACCGATGTCACCGCTGAAGTTGTGCAAGTGACGCACAACGGGAAAGAGAATGAGATCCTCAACGGCATCCCTGACTGGGTTTATGAGGGTACGTAGCTTTTTCAGAAGTCTGTGTGTCTAAATAAAAGATGGTTATTATATATTTTTTCCTTATCTATTTCAGAGGAAGTGTTTGCATCAAATGGAGCGATATGGTGGTCCTCAACTGGAAAATACTTGACTTATGCCGAGTTTAATGATACAGAAGTTCAAAAAGTGGAATTTAGCTGGTACGGATCTGGGCAGTATCCTCAAACTGTGGCCTTTCCGTACCCAAAGGTGGGATTATATGACTTTATCAAGCCTGTTCTGTGTTCATGTTGCCTATTTATCTCCTCCACACTCTATGAATATTAATCTTGACTGTTTGTATTCTGTATAGGCTGGATCAGCACTTACCAAAGTGAAGCTGCTCGTTGTTGATACCACGAACCCATCCCGCCGCACGCAGGTGGTTCCTCCTGCTTCTGTCGCTTCTAGGTTCGTATATTCTCTGTGTTATGGTGTCTCTTAATCGTGCATTTGAATCAGACAGAATCGCGGCGTCTTCATGTGAAAACCCTGTCGCTTTCTGTTTGCCTCCACTCAGCGATCACATGTTGTGCTCGGTGACCTGGGTTTCAGACGAACGCGTGGCCGTGCAGTGGCTCACGAGAAAACAGAATCATGTGGTTGTACAGATCTACGACTTTGACGGAAGTAACTGGAAAGAAAATCAGGTAGCTGTTGTTCCTCCGCTCGCCTGATTTCCAGCTAGATCATCTTGAGGATTCAAGCGCTGACTTTATGTCCGTGTGATTAGATGCTGATTGATGCCTTTACTCTCCGTAGAAATTCGAGCAAACGAGCAAGACAGGCTGGGTCGGCCATGTGAGTGTCCAGAAAGTTACCACTAATGGGGATTTAGGTTTTGATTTGATGTGCGACTGTTAAATACTGTCTTTTTCCTCAGTACGTGCCCTTGCCTGTTTTCTTTGCTGAAGATGGGCTCAGCTTCTACAAAGTGATGAGCGACACTCAGGGCTACAAACACATCCATTATGTGAAAGATGTAAGTATTTACATTTGCAAAATGTACTGTGAATCATACCCATGGTGTCATCAGTGACTTACTAAAGGTGTTTTCTTAAGGGCAAAGCTACACCGATTACCTCTGGGAAGTGGGAAGTTATCTACATATCCAAATTAACAAAAGATGCCATGTAAGTGGTGAAACCGCACAATTCTTGTAAAACAGCATTAAAAAAAATATAGAAATCTGACTCGTGTGAATTGTTTTTCTGCAGATATTTTGTGAGCACTGAGCACGAAAGGAACCCTGTGAAGAGAAATCTCTACAAGTAGGACATTCCTCCTGTCTGTGGGATGAGTAATATATTACATTTCACATTCCTTGTCTTTTATAAACCAATTAATGTTGGTATGTTTGTGGATTTATGGAGCCTCCAAAGACGAGATAAGCACATTAGCTATCTGGGCTCTGAAAAACAGTAAATAACTACATAACTGACTCCTGGTTTCTGCTCATTGTTTCACCAGGGTCATGATTGGAAGCAGCCCTTCGTCCACTCAGTGTCTCAGCTGCGACCTGTATAAGGACAGGTGTCAGTACAACTCGGCTTACTTCAGCTTTGACGCTTCTTTCTACCGGATGGACTGTTACGGTCAGTTACCCGTTTTCTCTTAAGCAATAACTCATAACCCATGTGGGGATGTTCGGTGGTGGGGAACATCTGTGAACAATAATCACAGCTCAGAAAGACACCTTTAAAGTTTTGCAGGAGACTTGACGTGTAATCTACTGTTTGCGTGTTTTCTATTCTTGTCCCTACCAGGACCTGGATACCCGCTCTACGTACTCATGGACAACAGGGGCTCAGCTGCAGGTACAGAAGTAAAGCTTAGGTTCTAGCCACAAGCCAATTTTTTTAAATGAATTCTAACATCTGTTACTAATGTCCCTCCAGTGGAACTGATGGGAGACGAAATCTGAAGATAAAAATGAGACTTTGACAGAAGATTTTAGTAGATATCTTCCAGCATTAGAGTAGTATTAAATGAAATGACTCTCTTTGTTCCCCTGCACTGTCAACAACAAAAAAGGCAGTACAAGACAAAGCTGCCTTTGGAAAATATC